GAGGCCTCCATTTTGATGGTGCTGTATTGACTGATCTCGCTAGAGAGGTGGTTTGTGACTTAAAAGATTGTAAGGTGAGGTTCGGTTCGGGGATGTCGAAATTGTCGGGCAAGTAATGATGGTTGGACAAAAGGAGGGGTTTGAAAGATGAAGTTGGCTTCACCAAATCGCAGCGACCGCTTAACTCAGAAATTGACACGAAGGTTTCTCACGCCTAATCCAGTGACGCCGAGGGTAGCTTCGACCCGCAGCTCAGAGAATCCGCGATGAAATCGCCGAACTGCGTGACTGGTCTTTATCGCCACCCGCGCACGTAGCTTCCCTATGACTAATCACAACTTTTCTTCCACCTTAGAACTCTAGGAATATCGTTGCTCTCATTCTAGTTTCCCTAGTGGCGTTCTGGGACCACGATCACAAGCACCTCATACACGGCATTGGACCCGTCGGACAAATTCCGAGTCAAGATGTCAACCGCTGAAGAGCTTTTACGCGACTTTGAGGATGACGAGGAGGACTTCGATGTGGGCGAAGGCGAGGAAGTCGACGAAGAGCCCGAGCAACAGGAAGACTCCAAGGAAGGCGCCGGGGCTTCTAACGACTTTGATCGCTCTATTTCAACCGCCGATGAGCTAACACGCCTACACAAAGTCCTGCGCGACCATTACTCCATTCGATTCCCCGAGCTCGAAAGACTCGTCACCACTCCTATAAAATACGCCAAGACGGTTGCTGTCATTCAAAATGGCCCCTTCAACGACATCAAGGCGCTGTCCACATCATCAGAGAATATGGTTGGCGTCCCACTCAAGTCAGTCTTGGACGGGCCGTCTCTGATGGCAGTTGCGATGGAAGCAACTATCACTAAAGGCCGGGAAATGACCGAGTCTGAGCTCAAGCTGGTTCTCGATACATGCGATAGGATTTTGAAGCTTGATCATGAGCGTGCTGCTCTTACCGCAAGCATTCAGTCTCGCATGAACCAGATCGCCCCTAACCTGGCAGCTCTCATCGGGGCGGAAACGGCTGCACAATTCCTCAACCAAACAGGTGGCTTGCTTGAACTAGCTAAGATCCCGTCCTGCAATTTGGGTGCACAAGGATCACGCAGATCAGAAGGACTGGGCTTTGCGACCAATCACGGTGTTCGAGCCCAAGGTTTCCTCTACGACTCGCCACTTCTTCAAGAGGTTCCTCTGGACCTCAGAAAACAAGGAATTCGAATTGTTGCAGCCAAGATGGTACTCGCTACCCGCGCGGATGTCTCCAATTACGCCAAGGACGGTTCTCTGGGCGAAGAACTGAAGCAACAATGCTATACGCGACTGGAGAAACTCACCGAATCTGCGCCAAACGCCGGTACCAAGGCTCTCCCTGCGCCCGATGATAAACCCTCCAGAAAGCGGGGTGGTTGGCGGGCACGAAAGGCCAAGGAAGCTGTGGCTATGACGGAACTACGGAAGGCACAAAACCGTCTTGCATTCGGTAAGGAGGAGTCAGAGGTGGGCTACGGCACGGGCTCTGGAACCGTTGGCTTGGGCATGCTGGGGCAACAGGACGATGGTCGCATTCGTGCAACTCAGATCGACCAGCGCACCCGTGCCCGACTTAGCAAGAACAACAAGGGCTGGGGCACAAACACCCCCGCTAGTGGCACTGCCTCATCTTTGCGTGGGTTTGGCCAGGGCGGTGCAAGTGGCACTGCAAGCGTTCTTCAGGCACGAGGTATTCGTGCATCTGGCGTCGGATCATCTCTACCTGGCGCCGCTGGTACCTCTAGTACTATTGCATTCACACCCGTTCAAGGCCTGGAGCTCGTTGACCCGAAGGTGCAAGCGGAATTGAAGCGCAAGCGCGATGCTGAGGAAAATCGGTGGTTTAAGTCCGGGACTTTTACTCAAGCTCCTCATCAGAATCCTGGCAATTCACAGAGTAGTGAAAATGGCGGCTTCAAGGTGCCTGCTATCCCACTCAAGAGGAAGGCTGATACGGGTGAGGGCAAGATGGGCCCTCCGCCTAAGCGTTAAAGACTTCATTTGTTTTCTAAATTTCTTGCTTGATTGCTTTTTATCGCGGCATTTTGACGGCGTTTCAGGGGGAAGATCAGGAGGCCTGAGCTTCAATATGATTTACGTGATACCAAACCCGATTGTATATTAGATCTGAACTACAGTCCTCAAAATGACATCTTTTTAACGGCGGACCTGTGAATCTCCTTTTTTTTTCTCTAATACGCCGACATAAAAGACCTTTATTGACTGTTTGTTCTCTTTCACCAAACCAGATTGTGCAATTCGAGCTAGGCTCTTGTAACAGAGGAGAGTCGATGTCATACTGATTCTTTCTGTCTTTGAAATCATTTAAAATCAGAGTTTGTCCTTTCATATTGAAATCCTAGTGCCAAGATACGCCAGTTAGTCTCTTTGTTTGCCTGGTGGTGAAAGGATTGGGGACGGCAGGTTTCCTCTCCATTTGAGAATGTTTCCAGCATCAGTCCATTTGCTGTCGCCAACTTGAGAAATCAGAGAAGAAATTGCCCCGAAACACTATGCCGGACGATCGCATTGATCCACATTACACTTAGCCCCTGGTTTTGTTGACTGATTTATGTGAATCGAGCCAAGCGAAGCTTAGTGGGCTTGTCAAGTCAACACTCGAGGACGATCTCAAGTCCCATTCCGACCAGTATTACGGAACATCTGCCCAAGCTGAAATTGCAACTCATTAAGTCGAGGTCAAGGTCCATTTATGGTCACCACCTCGTCGCCTTCTAGAGTCTATCGCCCAACAAGGTCCACGTCGTGATAGTCAAAGCAATCTCTATGCCCTTGCTATCCTAGCATATCGATCGGGTCGACCAAGAATCATCGCAGCGGATGAAGCAACCAAACGTCAGCTGTCAGGTAAATTTCTCGAAGATCGTAATCTATATTCAAGAAGAGAAGGAGGGCGCATCTCGGTGATTCTCTTATCCACACGCAGGGATCCCGATTCGGGTGAGTGTTCTGTTTTCGCAAGACGAGCCGTGTGCTCCCTACAGAAATCATGTTCAATATCGACGGCCTAGAAAATGAGTTTGGCGATTCAGATCTTCAAGCAAAGCTGTTCAGATCCGTTCATAAATCATGGGGACCCTTGCGGGCCCATGGTCAAAGATGGAGGGGAACGACGTTATATGACCCTTATAAAGAACTATTCAAGCCTGGGACGGCAGATATTCTAGGAAGAGAGCACTATGCCAACGCTGTGATCACTGCCCTCAGTCGCTATCTACCCATCGAGCTGGCCATCTAATTCAAACAGCTCCCCGATCAAGATGCCGGTATGGAATCGTCGTCCAAGTAACACACATAGAGTCATCTTCCTCCTGTATTCTCAACACCCGAGGACGTTGAGAATACGTATCAAAGACTAAAGGAGGCTGGTCCAACAAAGTATCGCTCGAGGTTCGCACCAGTGGCAAATAGGAAATTCATTTGGGAGATCGAGAGGTACACCAAGCCTCCCATGACACTAGAACTTGTTTCGTGGGGTATACCGCATGAAGACCCGTCGAGACCTCGTCAACTTCTAGAATGAATATCGTGTATAGGATGCTCGATTGGGGAGAATCGAAAATGAAGTCCTGCCAAATGAAGTCCTGCCTTTGCTCTATCTCCCCAGACCGCTATCTGCCCTGGACGAGGCGTTTAGCGTTCTTACAAGCAAGCTCCTTCGACCAAATTTATTCTTCATGAGAATGAAAATCTCCGATATTTGCACTGACAGGGAGAGGTGAGGTTCTCACGTTGGCCCTCGCAAACACGGTATCAAAGAGATAGGCATCTGGACGAACTATTTTTATCGATCTACCTCTTTGGCTACCTATCATCGCGACAAATTGGGTTTGAGCTGCGGTCTTCCTCACAAACAAGCTAAGCAACGCCGCAAAACAAACATTGAAGCAGATCCTCGTCCCATCCGTTGAAGTGGATTCGGACGGGTCCAGTGATGATCCTCAAGATGATCCATTAGGCCCCGAGTATTTAATCATACCTTGGCACAAGAACGCTATGGTCGATGGAAAGGTGGAAGATATATAGGAGCTTATTCAGGAGCTTTATGTGCATCCTCATCTGCGCGGAAAACGCACAGTATCATTCGTTTGTGTCGATCGGCAGTTTGAACTTGATCGATCGTTCATTCTGCTCCAAGCAGATGAGTTCAATTCTGACCCGGGGCATGATTTACTCCAACCCTTGCCCTTCCCGAGCCTGAGAGGGTTCAAATATACGCGTGCCTCTACTGGGTTGGCATTTCTTGAGGCCCCAAGGCAAAACATGATCGATTTTGATGCAGTGGACCATGATTGGTCAAAATATCGAAGACCGGGATGGCCGGCACCTGGGGTATTGCCTGATGACTCTGTAGAGGATATAGAGTAGTTGACGGGAGCGCTTACCCTTGAATTTACCAGTGGAATGAATCTATGGATGACTTAAGCTGAGTTGTTTCGTTCCAAGGTTCAGTTAACTACTAGTTACATGGTTGGCTACATCTGTAGTTAGTTGTATGGGACTATCTGCGTTGACATGTTGGCGGGATCACTTCACAGCGCAAGAGATGGTGAAATGAATACGTGTGTAAAGAAATAACTCGAAGGATTTGATCCTTTATGTAAGAGAATGTTCAATTGGATGTCAGAGGTAAGCCCAACAGACCCAATCGACGACCTAAGCAAATCCCAAATTTGCCGCCCACATTGCGTGCTCGTCCAAGCACACAATCGTGGAATGTGGTACAGCATCCACGGTATATAGCGGTCAGGGGAGTGTATATAAAAGCCTGTGCCTGCAATTTTCTTTTCGATATTGCGTATATAAAATTTTCTATAAATTTAGGTTCGCCTCCACGTTCCGAACTTCCGCCAAATCCTATTTCTTGCGCTACTTGGGTCCCCAATTTCTTATTTCCCTCAAATTTGGAATCTTTTTAAATTAGATTCACAGAGATTTCGAAGCATGACGTTTAGCATAGCCAAATCGGTCCTCATCAACCCAGTCCCAGCTAGCAAAAGCCTCCCAGACAAGGGCGAAGGGCAAGAGGTTTTAAGCTTAACTCGACTCCTGCATCACAGCCATGTTACTACAGAATTCGACCCCTTGAGATTTGAGGCTGCCGCATCATTGCAATTGAAATTGCAGCTCGAGGGGCAATACCCAGATACAGAAACAGATACGCGACTCATTGCGTCGCCCTACAACAGCGTCCCCCATCTGCTGGACATTGCTGCACTGGAAAGACAAGACCGACTATTTGCATTGGCATTGGCATATCTCAAACCTATCCGCGACGACTATGCCACCGCTGACTACACCGAATCATTCAACTGGACCGAGGTGTATGATTTGCTGAGAGTCTTCTCACAGGCCGAAAACCACACATGGAAATCACAGTCATACTATGTTGTTATTTTCCGATCAATATTGTTGCCGGATATTGACTCGGACCGTCTTTATGATCTCGATGCGCATTCGCACCAGGAGGCCATTGCTAGTGGCGGGCTGTTGAAGTATTGGTTTGGGGCGAAGAATGACAAGCATCGAAATCTGGCCACTTGTGAGTATTTGACTATTCTATGTTATTCTGACCACATGCTGATCAATTCGAATAGGCATTTGGCGCAGTCGAAATGACGCGAGACTTGGTGGTCTTGGACCTTGGCATGCTCAGGCAAGAGCGGCCGCTGCAGTAATGTATGAGCAGATTCGGTTCACTACGCTAAGGTTGGATATTGCGGATGGAGTGCAGTCCTGGAAGCTGAGTTATTGGAAGGAAGATGTGCTGTAAATAGCATCGTTGGCATTAGCAAGATTAGATTTTTGCATTTGATGTGGTCTAGAACGACATGACATTGTGAACCTGTACATCTCGATGAATGGCTAACAACAAATATTCTATATACGATAAATAAGACGAAATTAACGATGATAGACACAATTCTCCCTCTGATGGCGAGACCAATGAACCATCAAAGAAGAATGTTAAAAAGAAGACAGGAAAAGAAACGAGCGCAGGTGAGCCGGTGATGTTGTTGATCTTGTAACTGTTTCTCGCAATCCCTCGTGTCTTCTGGCCCATACAAGACAGATCATGCCCTGATCAATGCAATCAATGGAGCCTATGATAGATCGGAGCTAAAGTCCCCTCACTTTTCAATATGGGACCATGGAAAGACAAGCAAGGTCTCTACACAATGCCGCGGCGGGTGCAAGAGGTGATTGAGAGAGATGGACGGGCTTCACAGTATTAAAACAATTGAATACAGTGATTAATAATAAATTACTGGCAGGATAATAGTGGAGAACTACGTTTGTTTCTTGGTTGCCCTGTAGAAAGAGGACAAGTTGAAACAGAGGAGTATGCAAGCATGGGACAGTATCACTCCATCATTCCAGTCAGTTTAGATTGTAAGCCCAGTGAGCCCTTTTTCTTGGCAGAGTTATTATGATTCCACAAGGGCGGACGCACTTGATTCGCAGGAGAATTTATCTCTGGAATGCGTTCTGTCGTAACTAGGGATCGACATAGGCCCCTAGATCCACGAAGGAACTCTTTGCTCAAGGAAAAGTTATTTTGTTATAATCAAGGCGAGCTCGTAAGACGAGCATCTTATTTAGACCATCTTAGCTGAAGAAAGCAAAGTTTGAATTGATCTACAAGAGAAAAAAAAAAGGAAGATACCCTGGGAGTGTAAACATCGGCATTCAAGTACTATATAAATCCTCATTCCAAATGACAAGAGACTGGCATTTCGGTAATTTCGGATCGCGTATCCGCGTTTCAGACGTTAAATCTTATAATAGTTGTGAACTTGAGATTTATCTGTTTCCAATTAGTGTCAGGAAAATATCTCATTTTCAAGCATCCACTTTATCACAACATACGCCCAAATTCATACAATATGTCTCAAGTTATTCCAAGGGCATCATGGCTCTCACTCATCGTGGTAGCACTGCTGGCAGTCTCCACTGTCAACGCACATCCAGTCCACCAGGCAGACGAAGAGATGGAAAAAGGACACACCGGTAAACTTGAATCTCGATCACCGGTTAGTCCCTCAGACATTGCATTCTGCCATTAAAAAGCACACTTCTGACAGAAGTATAGAGACTTATTCCAGATACCCAGAAGTACGTTCATGACATCTTGCAAGGGTTGGGCCTGGAAGAGCCAACCTCAACCTCAACCTCAACCTTAACACCAACCGCCACGCCCACTGCCAGCGTCAAGACCAAGCAGGACTCGGAGAGCATGAATTCAACAAAAACCACGGAGATTACCTACTCCAGCTCTACCAGTTACACACCCACTTATAGCGGCAATTCGGCAAGCTACACTCATACTGTGAAGAACGTGCACAGCTACAACAGGCCAGTGGAGAACGTTCAGCTTGGGCATGGTTGGAATGGGGATAAGAAAGTTACTGTTGATGATCTCCCAGCTGCCTTTGATGCTTTGTATAAGGTATTGGAGCATCGATTGAAGGATGCAATTGACAGCTCTGATGAGATTGGATTGGATGAATTCCTGTGAGGATGTTTAGTGCTACGAAACTCGAAGCGATGGATTATTGATTCTGGAAAATGTGAACTTCAAGATATACTATGTACTACTAATGTCGTATTAGGAGGCTATAGTCCATGACTGTAATAATATCGCTACTCCCTACATTATCGGTGTTCCCTAAACTCCCTTAACTCCGTGTTCCGATCCCAACTCCGGAAATTAGCAGTACAAATCCGCAGGTGATGCCGGTAACCCGGACGAGAAGTTCGATATCCAAGTTATTAACATGATGGTTTACATTGACGGAGTGATCGCACGAAGCTTGCGGTGAAAACCTGTAACTACGATCAATCGATCCAACCCCGACGGCGGGGCATCTTGAACCCCATAAAAGGCCCATCGCAGCCCGCCAACCTCGACTTTCTACCAACTATCTCTTCTCAACAATTTACGCTTATCATTTACATTCAACCATGCCTTCTATACTTGGAAAGGAAGTCGGCTCTATTGGCTATGGCACAATGAGTGCGATCCCCCTCTCAAACACCCACAATTGGCGGACACTTCGCTGATTATAAAATCAGGGATGACCTGGAACACGCAGCCTCCATCAGAGGAGGTGTGCTTCGAGACACTCAACACTACCCTGGAATTGGGTGCCAACTTCTGGAACGCCGGCGAGCTGTACGGCACTGCAGATTACAACTCTCTGCACCTGCTCAACAAGTACTTCACCAAGTACCCCGAGAATGCAGACAAGGTCGTTCTCAGTGTCAAGGGTGGCTTGAAGAAGGGCGAGCTTGCCGCGGATGGCTCGGAAAAGAATATCCGTCGTAGCGTGGACGAGTGTCTGCGTCTGCTTGATGGCAAGAAGAAGCTTGACATTTTCGAATGCGCGCGACAAGACCCCGCGTTCCCCGTTGAGAATACCATAAAGGTTCTCGCGGAGTATGTTAAGGAGGGTAAGATTGGAGGAATTGGCCTGAGCGAGGTTGATGCCGAGACGATCCGCCGAGCGTATGTGCCTCTTGATTTTATAGTCGTCGTCTTCCTATGGACAAACTCAACTCTAACTGCTTCTCTAGACAAAAGGTGCACCCGATTGCTGCCGTTGAGGTTGAAATGTCGTTGTGGTCCACCGATATCCTCCATAATGACATTGCCAAAACCTGCGCGGAGCTCGACATCCCCGTTATCGCTTACTCGCCACTTGGCCGAGGTGTGCTGACCGGAGCTGTGACCTCGCTGGCCGATATCCCCCAGGGTGATTTTCGGCACCACATGTCCCGGTTCCAGGAAGATAACTTCAAACATAACCTGAAACTCATCAACGAGGTCAGTAGCCTTGCTACTCGCAAGGGTATCGCTCCTGCTCAGATTGCACTGGCATGGATCCGGACCCTAAGTGAGAAGCCCGGCATGCCTACTATTATTCCCATTCCTGGCGGTACTACGAAGGACAAGGTGGTTCAGAATATGGGCGGTGCACAGGTGCTGACGGATTCCGATATGGCTGAGATCGATGCTGTTTTGGAGGAACATACGGTTTCTGGGCCTCGATACTAAGGAGTTCCTGCATGAGTTTTTATATTTATTATTAGAGATAGATCAGAAATGTGATATGTGCATAATGCCAATGGGTATTTGTATAGGTCAGATCAAGTGTAGAAGAGTCAACATACAATCTCACATTAATAGGTGATTGTCAATATTGTATAATTCCTCGGAATTGATCATCATATAGTATGTAAGGCAGTTGAGAGGATCCAGTGTTGCGTAGAATTCATTATATAGGGTAGTGCGCAGGGCGAAGGCGAGCTTACCATTGGGTCATTGTGATGTACTAATAGAGGGGGTCTGAGTATTACTAAATAAATGAATAGCATGACAGAGACGAAGATTATGATCAACGAATACATATAAGACCATGGAGGAAGAAAGAGAGGGAGATTAGCGTTCAGTTGTGACCTCGCAGTCGATCACGTGATCCCGTTCATCCACGGCTGAACACGTGATGTGATACGATGGCCTCCCTCGCGCGACATCTACAGTGCAGCTAATAGACAGTTCAAATTTGTTTGCTGCCACTTCCATTTTCCTATACGAGCTATGCCATCCACAATGGCTTCACGAGACTCTCCCGGTTCCCCTCTCTCCTCGGTGGGATCCCTCGAGACTTCAGATCATGAATCCATGAAACATGAAAGCCGCGCGCATTCTCCCTCGATGTCTAACATGCCGCCATCCAAGCGTCGTCGCACCGGTGGCGCATCCTGGGACCGTCAAACTCCTCTCTCCTCTACCCATGACGAAAACCACCCACCTCCCTCCCCGACTGCCTCGATCTCCTCCGATAGCTCCGGCGATATTCCCAACTCCCCTAGCATCCTTACCCTCCTTGGTACCAATCAAGAAGATGACTACAGCGGCCAAAGCACCGACCAGGTTACTATTTGCCGATGGGATGGATGCAATGCTGGCGACCTTGGCAACATGGATGGGTTGGTGCAGCATCTCCACAACGAGCACATCGGGAGCCGACAGAAACGGTACTCGTGCGAGTGGACGGATTGCACCCGCAAAGGTCAAACGCATGCTAGTGCTTATGCCCTCCGCGCACATATGCGAAGTCACACCCGCGAGAAGCCATTCTACTGCACTCTGCCGGGTAGGTTGTCTCAGACCCAGACTCGAGCAAACAGATCTCGAGTATTAACAATGAAATACAGAATGCGACCGCAATTTCACTCGCTCTGACGCCCTGACCAAGCACATGCGGTCTGTTCACGAGACTGACACTATGCGCCCGATCGACTCCATCTCAAAAGTCCACGGCACCCCGGGCAGCACTACTGGCACCCCTGCCTCGAAGTTGCAACGCATCCGCTTGAAGCTGACCCAGCCCAGGGAGCCGGGAAGTGAGTCTGAGCCACACACCGAAGCAATCACTATTGTGCCAACTCCCACCCCCATCATAACCGACGCACACGATCCCGACGAGACCTCGATGCCAGAGTTTGGCCCGGAGCTCGACTTCGACGAATCGGAGCTCGCCCTAGCTCCGCGCGACCTCTACCGTCTTCTCCGTCGACAGATCGCGTGGGCTGGCAAGGAGGCCACACAGCTGCAAGCCGAGTGGGAAATAATTCGCCCGCAGCGCGAGCAAGCATGGCGTGAGAAGGAGGCTATCTTTGACGACCTCATTGACGCCGAGATTGGCTTGTTCAGCGCAATGGTCGGCTCAGTACCCCCCGTGCACCTAACGACCAGCCTCGAAAAGTTGCAACAGCAGCAACAGCAGTTTCAGAATCAACAGGAGCAGCTGGCCAAGTCGGCAGAGGTGCCGACTATCGAGGGCAGCACTTAGTTGGCTTGTCTTCCCTTTCTTCTCTCTTTTCTCTCCTCCCCCTGCTTTGCTCCTCCTTTCTCTCAACCTTCTCTCCCCTGAGACCATGCTTTGGTAGCTTGGTCTCAGAACTGTGTCACTCTGTGGTCACCTTTTCATTTGTAAACCTCTCATATCCCGGCGTGCATGGCTTTGGTGAATGCGTTGTGTATTTTCAACCCAAGCAGAAAAGAAGTGTCCTGCAACGGAATGTATGAATAGCCTCATTTCTTTCTTTATTTCTTTCGGTCTGGCTTGCAGGCTCAGTGACAGCTCACCACTATGGGCGATCACTACAATTATCAATAATCAAGATTTTCTTCTGATCTGGGAATTATAATGCAAGGCTACATAGCAGACAGAGGCCATGTCTAGTCGTCAATAGAGACCTAAGTTTTAAGACACTGAAGAGGACGTAGCCCTGACTCCGAGTGCCTATCGACCCTGAAGGGCAAGTTTAAGAAGTCATTAGAAGGAAAGACATCAAATGGCGTGCCATGTTGAGATGTGTTGAGACGTGCGGTGACGATTGCGCAATTCCATCGAGTTATACGTGACGTTTCTTTAAGTGCCAGTGTCGTCGGGACTAACTATATAGCTTATATTCCTAAACTTATTTCTTTTCTTCTTCTCTGTTCTTCTGTATAGATAATCTAAGAGCTATGAAGAATCTAACTGCTGATGAGCGGTACCAACTGGCAGGAGACTACTTTGCTCCTAAGGGGCTCTATGAGTACACCAAAAGCCTACCCTTCACTGGTCGAGTAAAAAGTAATGTTAATACACTTGTGGCCGGGGAATGGACGGAGATCTTGCTAGACTATGAGGTTGGCGCATCGGGCCTAGCAGATGGCGCTTGGATAAAGGCCACCTTCAAATTCTACTCGGTGAGTGAAGAAGCCCGATAGAGCAGGCTGCAGACTTGATCCAACATGACCGAGATAGGATTGGGTACTGTTCCAGACATCAGATCCCACAAAAGACAACTATATCAGCGCCGAGTATATCCCAAACAGCCTTTTCCCAGAACAGACACCCGCGACAGTTCAATCCCTGGCCATTCGATTTGATCAAAAGGGACACGAGCGACCTTTCCAAAAAGCTGTGATTGTGGATATTCAAGATGGCTATATGAACCCAGGCGATCGGATTCTGATTCGACTAGGTGATCGTCGCTTCGGCGGCCGAGGAACGCGGGCTCAGACATTCATCGAGAAAGACTTCCGCTGGAGGTTTTACATTGATCCTGTTGGGACTAGGTGAGTAGTATTATGACAGCATCACAGCGATTGAATCTGGTGAAAGCTGACTATACCGCCATAGTCGCTTTGCTCCGATTCAGCCTGACCTCTCTTGGAACATCGTCGCTGGTCCCATTCATCACCTCCAAACTGTTTCTCCTCGCGTACTTCAGCCCTCTGTTCCATTTTCCATTCATTCTCATACCGAGGATATCTGGGGAAATGTGACTAGTGATCTCGAGAATCTTTCCTTCCAGCTGAAGGTGCTAGACGAAGACCGGAAGGCCATGATCGTCAAAGAAAGTTCTGCATCACAGCAAGGCTGGACGAATGTTCTCTGGTCTCAGCATCGAAGTTGACGGCGACTACACCATTGAGGTTATCGTTAAATCGAACGAGAAAACCATTGTATCCCAAACCACCCAACTCACCATTTCATCTGGTCTCTCAGTTCCCAAGGCCCTCTTCGGCGACTTGCACGTGCACTCCGACGACACAGTGGGAACCGAGTCATCAATCTACAACTTTTCCTATGGCCGAGAAATCGCAGCCCTGGATGTTCTAGGATACACCGCCAACGACTTCCAAATTACCAAGGAACGCTGGGATGCCACAACAGACTTAATCACATCGCTCAATAAGCCGGGCGAGTTTGTCATTTTCCCAGGGACCGAATGGTGCGGAAACTCTGCAGCAGGAGGAGACCACAATGTTGTCTTCCTGGCCGATCCCGCTACACACCCGCCCGAATTCCCCTTCGATCGCCATGGGAATGTTGCCCGTTCGTTTGAATGGTCCGAGCATGGTCCCAAGGACCTCGTCCCCGGAGTTTGGCCATTGGATGAGGTATACTGCACGTATGCGCGCAAGGCAGATGACCATATCCTCATTCCCCATGTCGGTGGACGCCGGTGCAATCTGGCATGGCATCATCCTAAGCTCGGACGCCTTATCGAGATTGGGAGTACATGGGGCCAGTTTGAGTGGCTCCTCCAGGACGCAGTACGCAGAGGATGGAAGCTTGGAGTCTCTGCTAATTCTGATGAGCACCGCGGTCGATGTGGTGGCGGTGTTCCTGGCACAGCAGTGTTCGGCACCCGAGGCGGTCTCACTGGCATCATTGCCCCCAAGCTCGAGCGGCGGGATATCGCTCATGCGTTGAGAGCACGCCACACCTTCGCAACCACCGGTCAGCGACTAGTAGGACTGGTCCAGACGGCGGACCAGTCTGCTATCCAGGGTGACGAAATCAAGATTGCCAAACAAGAGACACTAGAGCTGAAATACCAGTTCTTTGGTGAGAAGGGATTCTCGTCAATAGAGGCTTTTAATGAATCTGGCCTGATCTGGCGAAGACATTTTTGGTCCGAGTCTGACGCACCCGCCACCATTCTGCGGGTGACATGGGGCGGAGCGAGATTATACGACCGCTATCGTGAAGCTGTTTGGAACGGAACCATTACAGTCTCAGATACCAGCATTGAGGATGTTTTGCCATTTGGAGGCTTCGAGGACAACGCAGAAGACTTTGCACGCCAGGCGGGAGAAAGCACCGTTGAATTTTCAAGCAAAACCAGCGGGGACCTTGATGGTGTTCATGTTGTTTTTCAGGGCACCAAGCCCCCGCAAAAAATCCGTATCGCAGGCTCCCTCGGTGGATATGTCAAAGTTGGAGACCCCTTGGCTGGAAACCCCCACAAAGCCCAGCCTACATTCGAGCTAGAGGCCTCTTGGGAGGAGGCCAAGCGCCTAGATGGAAAGGTCATCGAAATCCTGGGTGGTGCGGAGCTGTTTGTGCGTATTGAAGCAATCCCGCAAGTGGAGCTGCCACGGCGGGTTCAGGGACAAGCATCATTCTTCCAGACAGGATCACGCTCGATATACTTTGTTGGCCGAGAGTGGAGTGGAGAAAAGGTGGTGACCAGCCCTATTTTTATAGACTATGTATGAGGCTAAGGTTCTCGGGGCTTGAAACTTGGACGAGATACCTAAAGTCCTCCCTGTAATGTCAGATTGCTGTATGCCGTAGTATATTATATGTAATGGTTTACAGATATAGTTGTAGTCTTGAATAGTAATTCATATTGAGGCTAAAATGCCCTGTTCTTACGTTGGCTCCAAGATAAAAGTGAATGTCAAATAACACCCCACTGAATGATAGCAGGAAGATAAGGAAATCAGTCGACGCCATTACAGCCACTCCATAAGATACATGTGCTGAGAGAGAAAACAAACTGCCCTTGATTACGGATACCTCCATAGGTAGAAGCCCTGATATGCCCACGACATACAAGAAAAGCAAACTAAAGCAAAGGAGATATGATATGATTGGCTCTATCCAGGCAAAAAAAATACCATAGAGAACCAGTCCAAAACTCCCCAACAGGAAAACATAGAAAATAAAAAAAAACCTCCAGACAAGCCATGCAGTGATCATCCAAGACCGTGCTCACTCCAAAAATTCTTCTTTTTGTGCTGTTGGGGCTCACGCAATAATTCGACGCCATTTGCAATGCCATGCAACAGGTTGCATCCGTATGTACCTTTAAAGAACAAGGAGAAAAAGAGAGAGACGAAGGTCACATTGATAGGGGCATCTCAAGGAATTGTGCGAGATGTTAGAACATGGTCAATAAAGACTCCAAAATGTCGAGTCCAATATAAGAAGATTGCAGGTGGGTACAATGTAGTGGTAGAGGGAGTAGAGATCGCCAAAAAAAAATACGCTGAGTGTCTATCATAAAAAAATGAAAATGATAGATAGATATTTGATATCAGAAACGCTGAACGTGCATATCATCAAACCGTGCTAAAGTGAAGTTGAACTGAAACAAAGAACATATGTACCCATTGAGATACGGAACTCCTCAAGCCGAGCTACCATTAGAGGCCTTGGAAGCTTTACTGGCTTCCATGACCTTATTGAACATCTGCTGCAGCTTAGCACCACTGGCATCTTTATTCGGCCAGTAGTTGAGTGAAACATAATCCCTGAAAGTCAAGTCAGAACGGGAAAAGAGAATTGTGATAGCAAAGAGAACTTACCAGAGTCGGACCTCTAGGGAGGGCATCGATTGCGAGCCCTCCAGAGTATTACGAATGAATTCGCCAATTTTCACTAGGGTAAGGCGAAGTTTCTGGGCCCGCTCGTTTTTGCTTGGGTAATTTTTGGCAGTGATCATTGCCACTTGCTTCAAATTGGCAACAATAGGCTTGAAGAACATGAACGCCATGTCTTCTTTATTAGAGCCGCCGTTCTCATGCCCTTTGCGGCGACGAAGCTCGTCATTAGAGGCATCGGATAAACGATGGCGTGGACGATCATCAAGGCCAGATCGTGGACGAGAGTCATGGCTGGGAGTATGATGACGGTCTCCCTCCCTGCTGGCATGCGTGTGGGGGCGGGGACGTGATCGATCGGATTCACGGTGGCCCTTGCGGGGATTCTCCGGCCTGCGAGAACTAGAGGGTGCCGGAGAGGCGGAGACACTGCCACTACCGGAAACCCGTGAGCCACGCTTGTTGTTGCGGTGGTGATTGTCGACTGCCCTTCTCGCTGTAGCATTGTTGTTGTACTTGTTCCTTAGAACAGACATGAGATATTCAGCTCGTCGAACAAGGTGGACAGCGCCCGGTGATTTTGTCGCCTTCTCCTCAGTCTGCAGGCGCTGTGTCTTTCGCTCCACTCGGTGTTCCTCGAGGAAGAATTTGTCGCCAAGGCCAAGCTCAGTGTCATCGCGAATTTGGGTCCACGCACCAAACCCATGGCGTGCGATGCCGACAAGAAGCATTCCGTCTTCACGTGCACCCCATTGGCAGCTGTAGTCCGCCAATTTGGTAGCCTCGGGGAGTCGGAATGTCCTGAAATCAGCCAATGCTTTGATGATGCTTCGGATAAGGCGCATATCTGGTGGACGTTCAACGATAGTCCATGCATTGAGTCGCTTGACTCCGTGATGGTCGAACAAGACGGCCTTCTGTTCTTTCTTCGTGGGGTTTCTACCCGATTGTTTCATGGCCTCTAATTGGTCCAGACTTGCTTGGACAAGCGAGTTTGCCTTGGCGGTGATTTCATGAAGAGCATCACGAACGGTGCCTCGATCGCGAGTTTGTAATCTGGCATCCTCCAGAATGAGATCTTCGGAGTCATCCAGATCGCCGTAACGAAGGAATGCTCGAGAAAGTGCACGGTATTCTTTTTCTCCGAGGGGACGCCTGGGATCCAACGAGGGACTTTCTTCCTCGCCATCGTCGATATTGACTTGAGCTCTTGCGAGCCGTTTCGCCTTACGTTCCTCTCGTGAATCTGTCGTGTCCGTGGGGGCGTGGCGCTTGCGGGGTCGATTTTGCTCAATGACTTCAGCAAGATAATGGTCATCATCTTTACGCTTTTCCTCGGCCTTGAGCACTTCGAGCTGTTCCTTGGGAATGATGTCGTCCCACGTGAGATCGTCAACTTTGATATCGACGAAGTCAAACGCTTTCAAGAATTCTTCACCGCCGTCGGCTTGAATTTGCTCAGCCTCTTCGGTTTGGTGTAATTCTGCGTTTGCAAGGACGGAATCAATATCAAGCTGCTCCAGCTTCTTCTGGTTGTCGGTTTGTTCGAACATCTTCTGGCCGCGGCGCTTGAGGATCCGAGAGATATCATCTGTGGAATTAGGCTCGGCAACCACACGAGCCATTTTGTTTTGCATCTCCGAGGCTTCTTTGTCGGTGACACCACGCTGGATGGTGATGAACTCGAGCAAGAGCTTGTTGCGAGCTCTTTCAATAACTTCTTCTTCGATCGTATCCTTTGAGACAAGACGATAAACGCTGACAGGCCTTGTTTGACCGATTCGATGAGCACGCGCCATAGCTTGCAAATCTGCCTGGGGGTTCCAATCCGAATCGAACAGAACGACAGTGTCTGCAGTCATAAGGTTGATACCGAGACCACCTGCACGGGTTGAAAGAAGGAATGCAAAGTCGGTGCTACCGGGAGCATTGTAATGCTCAATTGCCAAGCGACGGGCAGCGGACGGGATAGTTCCATCGAGCCGTTGATATTTGTAACCACGGTACTCCATATACTCACTCAGGATGTTAAGCATGCCAACCATCTGGCAGAAGATCAACACTCGATGGCCATCAACGCTCAACTTGCGGAGGAGTTGATCGAGAAGCATCATCTTTCCACTGCTGGTGATCATCGCTCGAAGAATATCTTCTCGACGAGTACTACCTTCCAGGATCTTTGCTTCTGCGTTGGGGAACATAAATGGGTGGTTGCTAGCCTTTTTCAATTCCATCATGATGTTCAAAAGAGACTGCTTCATCCCCTTGTTCCCGTCGTTGAGCGCTGCGTAGTTTTTGGTCAAGATATTCTTGTAGTATTCTAATTGGACATCGGAGAGCTCCACTCGAATGATTTTCTCAGTCTTCGGGGGAAGATCCGACTCAACCTTGGACTTGGTACGCCGCAACATGTAAGGCTGAATGGCGGTAGTTAATTCCGCGAGTTTTTGAGACGCTGCCTCGGAATTCAAATCCATGTCGACGTCGACTTCAATGAGGCCCGGGTTGAGGAAATCCATTAATGCTGAAAGCTCAGCAAGGTTGTTTTGGATTGGGGTACCAGTAATCAAGAGGCGTGCCTGGCATTTCCATTCGAACAACTTCATGTAAAGTTGTGAATCGCGATTCTTGAGACGGTGCGCCTCATCCACTGCCATGAATTGCCACTTGAATTGGCCGAGGAAGGGTGAGTCATTCATTGCATACTCGTAAGTTGTCAACAGAACATGGAACTTTGGACGTTTGGGATTCCCATCGACCATCAATTCATAATCGCGCAACACGGAGCGCGCCTTTTCACTACCATTGTAAACAACGTAGTTCAGATCCGGTGTCCAGTGATCAAAGGTATCAGCCCATGCCGGCATAGTAGACAGGGGGACGATGACAATGAACGGCCCTTGCTGCCGCCTGACATGGCGCATCCAGTTGATGAATGCGACAGTTTGGACTGTCTTTCCTAGGCCCATCTCATCTGCTAAAACAACATTGCGACCCCTAACCCAATTGAAAGCCAAGAAGTTTAGACCTTTGACTTGGAAGTCCTTGAGTTCTCCATTCTGCAAGAAAGTAGGGGTTCCGTGGATGGGCTCAAAGGATTTACGCGTGGCGACATTTATCTCGTTCTTGTCGGAGATAGGTTGTCGAGCGGTGCGGTCCAAGAATCGGTCAACCTCACGCTGTGCGATCTCAGAAACCAGATCCTCTGGCTCCCAAGTACAGGAATCGTAGAGAAGACGTTTCCATTTGACAAGGTATTCCGTGGTACCATCCTCGCTATCACGTACACCAATGACCCGTTCAACCTTTTTGTAGTCCTCTATGGCCTCGACGTCTCGTTCGCGATCGAGGTTCCACTTTTCGCGGTCTTCAGGAGGGGCGTCGACACTGTACTGCAACCGAATATCCTCATTGAGTACCTTCCGAACATAATTATCCACGCGTCGCGTGCTGCGGAAGTTGGCAATAGATTCATTGCTTTCCCATGTAGCATGATAGTGTGATTTGTCCTGCCACTTGATACAAAATTCAAAGTCGTTGCGGTCGAGATCATGAGCTTTGGGGTCGACGCCCTCCTTGAGGCGGTGATTCAGGACGACGTCGACAGCGGGGCGAGTGTCCTCCACATAACTCTCCGCCCAGTAGTTTTGTGGAAGATCTTCTGGGTCTTCTTCAAACATGGCTTCGTCTTCCTCGTCATCCTCGTTGTAATTTGACACCTTCTTAGCGGTTCGCGTTGAGAAGCGAACCTCACTCAATGAAGGCTCATAGCTAGCAGTTTGTTGGAGACGCCGCCTTCTCGCTTTGCTGGCACGAGCACTCTTTCCACCATACTCATCACTGTCAGACTCGGACAGGGACGACACAGTAGCCGATCGAGAGGCCTTAGA